GAATTCAAACAGATTTAAGCACTTACCTCCTCAAAATTGGTGGATTGAAATAAGTCATGGCAAATTTTATGAATGATGTCATCTTTCGTTCTGCTTAATCCATCGACATAAATGTGATCTACTCTTGCCTGAAAAAAAAAAAAACAAATTGTTTAGTTCCTACCAAATCTCAATGGGCACTCAGAAACTACATCCAGTGCAAAACTAATTTTTTAACAAAAAATATACATTTAAAATAACAACTAAAAAGAGCTCTTGCTATCATCAGAAACAAAGAAGAAAACTGTAACTGTAACTTCAAAAAATCAAAAGACGATATTTTTGTTTAGTTAAACATAACCAACATACTAGACACAAAATAAACAGTAACCAACTTAATTGATAGTTTTAACATTAGTTTTCTAAGACGCTTTTTAATTAGCAATGTTGAGCTAGATAGAGATTCTCTAAGAGTGAAACATACTAGCCTATCTTTCAAATCATTTATTGTAAGTTAAATAACATGTTTTTTTCCCTTTTTGGGAATATGGAATTGATATCTTAGTCCCAGCATCACATCCTGGATAACAAAATTATCTAATCTAGGTGTAAAGTGTGTTTTCCTGGAGAGTACTACTGCAGGATTGTGCATGTAGTTTTTGTTGTCTAGCGCCTGCATTTTTCGACAAGTTGGTAGAATGGTAGAATTAAATTATTTTTTGTATAAAGTTGAATTTATTGGATCCAATTAAAAAAAATTTAAAGTAGGCTAACTGAAATAAAATCACTTTAACTTTTAAAGTTGTAAACACAAAGTTACAGGTTAATACTTTAAACCAAATTGAAATTACACAATTCACTACTGCACGATCAAATATCACCAAAATAGTCGAGAAGCATTTCTATGTAGCAACCTAAAATGTTGTATTTTTATAAATCTGTGGTCTATGTACTGGTAGCGGGGTGTGGGCAGACTGACTCAGTCACTGCTGAACGGTAGCTAGAAAAACGCCTACGGTGCCTAACCTTCATGTGTTGAGTTGGGGACAAAATTTGGATGCCATGTTTATCGACCGAACTTGACATTAAGGAAAACTGGCCTTTAAGCTAGCCATCTTTCAACTTTCAATTGGAAACACTATCAGTGTTTCAGCAGACAACCTAAGCTACCGTACTTTGAACTTTTGAATCACAAAAAACAACGTAGCCTACCAAGAGATTAAATTAGATGTAAAAAATTGACTTACGTCTAACTTCTTGAAGTCAAATGCTTTTTCCTTCTCATTTTCTGTTCTGTTTGTGCCCTGAAAAAATACAAATTGTTTGTCAGCAAAGAACACTCAATTGACCTATTTAAGTCGGGGGACATATGATGTGCGCCTAACTGAAAGGCCATTGGGCAGGTACATTTTTGTGAGACCTTTATAGATATATATAGGCCTATTCTCCAGGGAATTTTATAACTTTTCCTTTTAAACACTGGTTATGTGAGGGAGACTATAAATTCCAATGATTCGAACTTGTATTAACATTTTTTAAACCAAAATTATGGTGGTGCAGCAATTTTCTATGATAATATTGTGTGATGAGACATCAGCCAAGTTTACTTTACCTTTTAATTCTGTCTCCAGTCCTTAATGTAGTCGAGGGTGACTAATTTCGGATCAGAAATGACCCATTTTCAAACCCATGTCATCAAATTAGTTGGTCTATAAATCCGACAGAATTCTTTGTTTAGATAGGCTACCTATAAATACACGTTGACACATAATTTATATCTTATAACAAAGACTTTTGTAGGATTTATGGACCATATTATTCATTCTGATAGCCCCTGGACTACGAATAATGACTTATATAGGCTTACCTCCGGCAGTAGTCCAAAATTGTGTCTTTTTCAACTAATGTTGTTCAAAGCTTACATGTTTCGTTGCACTGCAACATCGTCAGAGCTTTTTGTCAAAAACATCAAATGATTTATACATAAAACAAAACACGGAACACGAAACATTTAAACACGTAATAACACGATAGCGCTATCGACACGGCACGGCAGCGGTTGTAGGTAGACTCAAATTACCTACAACCGTGGGTCTACCTACAACCGCTGCCGTGCCGTGTCGATAGCGCTATCGTGTTATTACGTGTTTAAATGTTTCGTGTTCCGTGTTTTGTTTTATGTATAAATCATTTGATGTTTTTGACAAAAAGCTCTGACGATGTTGCAGTGCAACGAAACATGTAAGCTTTGAACAACATTAGTTGAAAAAGACACAATTTTGGACTACTGACGGAGGTAAGCCTATATAAGTCATTTATGGACCAACCAATTTGATGACATGGGTTTGAAAATGGATAATTTCTGACCCGAAACTAGTCACCCTTGACTACCGTACATTAAGGACTGGAGACGTAATAAAAAGGTACGTAATCTATCATATAATTCGTAGGCCTACATCAGTCCTGGTGGCAATAATGTTCAAAATAATTGATTAGGACCTTTTACCTGTTGTGTATCATAAACTACGCCTAAACAATGCATACACTAAACAATCAACTTAACTTAAGTGTACTTGTTAAATTCAAAGAAAATAGTAAAAATGGTTTAATTTTGCAGCATATTCTTATACTAGGCTATTTTAGAAGGTGGCCTAAATTAAATATCTCTGTTGTCATATAACAATTTCTGGTACTTTGCTGTTAAAGGGAACATTCATTATTATCGATGATTTTTTTCGATATATAGATTTTTTTCCTTTACGATACATTACAAATTGACAGCTGATATTTAGGCTAAAATATATAGTCTATTATATGGAAAGAAATAAATCTGTTCTAAGCTAACCTAACATAGCCAACCAAACTTGCTGTAGGCCTACCATTTAAAAATTCTGTTTGATAACAGAAAAGGCAAGTGGAGAATATTAAATGGAGTTTTTAAACGGTACAGCAAGTTTGGTTAGTTTTGTTAGGTTAGTTTAGAACAGTTTAACTTCAATATTTTGTTAAAATTTTTTTTGTCGATTCTGAACAATATTTATTTATCGTAGTTGTCAGCTGATATGTTTCAATTTGTTAATATCGATATACCGAGAAAAAAAATTGATAATAATAAGGGTTCCCTTTAACAAGAAAGTACCCAATTTCTAAGTTATTTTTCAAGGAATTTAAATCACAATAGCCTATATTATGAAGAAACTGTAGCCTAGGGTACTTTATATATTCTAAAAACATACTCTTTATATTTTTTATTATTCAAACGAAATATCATTATACTCATTAATTATTATCATTATTACATCATTAATGCATTTGAAAATAAAAATACTGTATCCATGCTTCTTTTTGACTTAACAAAAGCTTTTGATTGCATTCCGTTTGACATTTTGCTGAAAAAACTCAAATTTTATGGACTTAATAAAAACTCAATAGACATAATTGAATTATATCTGACCAATAGGAGGCAATTTGTTAGTGTGGAGGGTAAAAACTCAACATTGGCAGCAATTAAAGCAGGAGTTCCGCAGGGCTTGGTCCTGGGCCCTTTTCTTTTCATTGTCTCAGTCAATGATCTTCCATGTAACATCCCTATTGAGTCTGTTATATATGCAGACGACACCACAATTTTTACTTCTGATAATTTAAAGACCTAACAAAGCTTTCAGAAACACTTTCTAATGCAGAAAACAGTTTTTTAAACTGGTGTTCTGCAAATAAACTCATCTGTAACCAATCCAAAACCCAGAAAATAGAATTTTCACTCTCTTCAAACAAATCAGACCACTCAGTCAAACTTCTTGGCATTCACCTTGATAGTAAATTAAATTGGAAAATTCACATCACAAATTTAAGCAAAAACTATCGAGAGTTTCATGTCTATTCTGGAAACTCAAGTCTTTTGTAGACATTGAATATCTCAAACTAACTTAGCCTATTTTGGACTGTTTCAATCCCACATTCAATATGGAATCCAACTTTGGGGCCATTACCCCCATGTTCATGAGCTTCTACTAATACAAAAAGAAGTCATCCGCACTATGTCGGGGACTGGCCCTGCGGAGCACTGCAAGCCACTTTTTGTCAGACTAAACATTTGCACAATCATTAACTTATACATCTACAATGTACTTATATACACTAAAGCTAATCTCAATGAGTTTTCCGCCAGGCAGAATTACCATTTCCACCATAGGTACACGAAATAAGGAACAACTGGCCTACCACATCACAGGCTGGCCATCACAGGTAATTCTTTCAAACTTAATTGTGTGAAATTTTATAGCCTAATAAGCTGCCTGAGCCTCTTCAGGCAGACAGCCTTTCTCTTCCTCTTTTTAAGTCAAAAATTTATAACTGACTTGCAGCTAACCTATTCTAGTCAGTTAAGGACTTCATAAAATATAAAATTAAAGCGGAATCTTTCATATTATAAATTAAGAATTCTCAATCGTTATTCTCAATCTTTGTCACGGCACCTGTAGATAAGTTATGAACATGTTTAGTAATATAATAATATTTTATTTAATGTAATTTGACAATGCTTATTCCATGTACAACTTGGTCAATGGCAATCAACTTTCTTATTCTTATTCTTATCGAATAATCAATAGGCCTAGGCCTAGAGCCTATAAGTTATCGTTATTTTTCATTCGAATCATTCGAATGAGTGTAGGACGTTGACTAAAGTGCAGCCTAGTTATAACATGTCAAGTCTTAAATATATTCGGCATTAGGGCTTACTAGGTTTTAGTACAGAGATCTCAAAATATTTGGCTTAATATTATTAACCTAGAAACCACTTTGAGGTTATGTTTCCTTGTGCCTGAATATTAAGCTATCTCAGCCAAGCAATATAGATAACTTACTTTTCCATAAGCTCCCCCCATCTTAAAAAACTAAACGACACTAGATTATAATGCACTTTTGCCACTTCATAACAACATAATTTAAAAATTTTGATAATTGGCCAACGATGGAAAACTATGATGAAAAACTTGGCACTATCGACTCGACGACTCAGATTCGGATTTGATCATTTTTGATGACAGGGACAGATGACAATATTGTCAATGTCAAGAATAAGAAATGTAAATGTAACACATGCTCTGAGACATAGACCTGTAAGAACTAAATTATTAGCATAGGCATAGATTAAAGTATTAAAATATTATAATTAATCTACCATCTACATGCAGCATCTATAGACAATAGACAATATATATATATATATTCCTTTAAGCATACAGATAATGCAATAGGACAAGTAAAGAATTTTACATGGTCAAATACATATAGGTGAGACATAACTTAAAAACAAGATAAGAGCAGCAACAAAGATTTAGATAAAATGTTTACATCAGATAAACAGGTCATGATGTGAGGCGATCGTCCACGTATTCTGCAACAGAGTAGTAGGATTGGTCCTTTAGAAATAGAGTTACAGTTTTCTTAAATCTATTGAGTGGCAAATTTCTAATGGCTATTGGGAGTTTATTATAAAGAGCGAGTTGATGGTAAACATGACAATGCCGGGTTTTTGCAAGCCTTACATATGGAGTAACAAGGTTATGTCTAAATCTAGTGAGGTGATCATGATGAGCATTTTGAGGAGCGAAAGAGTTGATATTTTGTTTGACATATACTAAGGTGTTTAAAATATACACAGATAGCATGGTTAAGATTTTTAACTTCTGAAAACTAGTTTTACATGACTGACGATCTCTTAAGTTGTCAAGGAGTAAGAGTCCATAGTAGACAACTAGCAGTGTATCAGAGCTTACTGATTGCTTATAAGCCTTCTTATTAGGTACACAATTCTTGATAATTTTTTACACAGATTACGGACATGAGGTTTCCAAGTGAGGTGGTTGTCTAAAGTGAAACCCAGAAGTTTGACATCACTTTTTGCTTTACAGGTTGTCGGAATTTCTCTAAGAGAGAAATTAAATCTGTTTTTTGCTCATTTACTAAATTATTGGATGCAAACCAGTTTTTGTAAGAGGTTAAGGCATTTGACAGTAGTTGATTTGCTTGTTCAAAACAACCTGAGCATATCAAGGTTGTGTCATTAGCGTAGAGTACTGACAAAATAGGGACATTACAATACATATCGTTAACAAAAATCAGGTACAAGACATTAAATTAATTATTAAATAATTATACTGAGATCATGAAAGGTTGTATATTTCTATTTTAACAAAAACTCAATCAAAATATCAAACAATAACACAAAACATATGTTGAACAATTACCATATGTTATTAACATATTAACTACTACTGTCATCCCTCCTTCACAAGTCAAAATTATTTGGTTTTCTTCTAACCCTTTCCCCTCGTCTTACAACAGGAGCTGAGTCATTGTTTTGTAATTCTGACCTGGACGATTGACCTTCATTCACATCATGGGAGATTCTGAATGACTTGTCCCTTCTTAGGAACCATGAGTTTCTTAGGTATTCTCGTCCATCACCAGTCTGTATTTTGTACGATCGAGGTTCAGGGCCCACTTGAACAATCTTTGCTCTCAGCCAACACTTTGGTTTGAATCTGAAAAGCACTGGTTCATCGAGTTGAAACTGTTATATAACTTCAATGTGCCAGCTGCAAGGATTATCCGTGACAAATACTTTAAGCTTATAGATATAAAGCTTAATAGTACAACATTTTGTGGCAAAAGTTTAAATAGGAATTTTTTGACATCATAATCATAAAATTTTAGTGTGGCCTTGCTCGAGGCCTAAACAGATTAACAGAATCATATTATACTGTGTAGCATCAAAAATATTTAAAGTATTAATTGTGACCATTGCACCTGTTGGCTACTCTTTCAGCACTTGAAAACACTCTTTATCAACAAGCAATGTTAGCTCAGAGTTTAATTAGTACAGAGTTCGATTGAGCAGACGACAGGTGTGGATTACTTAACCTACTATGATTCAAGTCAACAATAGTGTCCATATGTTTATTTAAAGCAATATTATTATTTAACACTTCTTTTACTAGTCCAATTAAGTTTCCAAACATAGTTTGTACGTCAATACTGTTGTTAGCATCCTTTTTATTGGTTACTAACCTGTCAATTTTCCCAGCACATGTTGAGCAGAACCATTTTACATCTTCGTGTGATTCGTTTATAAGTTCGTATTTACGGTCGGTTCTATGTACCTAATAACAGATTGTGGATATTTATAGGCATGCACTGTGGATGCGATACTCTCTGGTGTGGATTAACGTCCGCACGAGTGAGTACTACGACTATCTGCAGTACTATCCTGATAATTAGACCAATTCGTATATACCAAGGCAAAAATGTGGTTCGGATTTCACTATAAACTGTAGGTCCCTTAGTTGCCATTAGCTGTATGGGCTATTAATTAACCGCTGTGTCTAAAATGGTCTAAGGAATATGTCGGCCTTAGTCACTAACAAGACTACAAGATCACGCCGCTCATTCTTCACTCATCTCCATTCATACTTGGCTTAAAATACCTACTTTGTATGGTCACCAATCGCCATTTCATCAAAAAGTATTAAAGTAGAGTATTAAAGTATTAACGATCATCAACAGCGTATGTTCGATAACAATACGGATTGATTACATACAGATATATAACAAAATTCGGGTCGCAATTAAGGAATTACGATTACTTTAAATTACTGTTAGGAGTAATATTAAGTGAATTCTATAAATTACTATAAGTGAGGTTGGATTTAGAATATACTTTTGTACAGACTGTAGTCCTGTGGTCCTGTGGTACTATGATCAATTGTTTGGGAGGTATGGAACACCACAACCTCCAAAGCAAAGGGGGGTAATTTTAATATTTTTAAATTTATTTCTCAGGTTATTTTAGTTCAAGCTTAACCACAATCCACAAAAGTGAATATATGCGACCCCTGAGTCATAACGCATTATTCTCAACAATGACTGCATGGGTTATAACAATGTTAAACAGCATTTAGTAATTCAAACCAAATTGTCCCCTGCTGTAATGGCGAACTTGTGTTTTGATAAAAGTAGCCCACATCACTAGCCAAATATAGGCGAGCTAAGACGAGCGCGATAATGTACTCGGTGTGCTTGGGATAGTATATTCGGCTCGCTTGGTTCGTGCTAGGCAACTTGTCTGTGCTCCAATTTTTGCCATTTTTTGGATGAGCGAGGGGAGAATTCAAAGGAGACGAACAAAGGTGAGCATATGCCTGTGCCGAGCTCAAGGACACTGGAACTGAAGTCAGGACATTAAAAAAGCTGCGACAACTTCTCCATGTAATGTAAACAATTGAAGCCAATAAAATAGATGGAGTTAGGACCATCTCACCAGAAGGTACTAGTTTATTTGGTTAAATCTATATATATTTAATTCCATAAGAAAATCGGTCCTCACCAAATATCTTGAGCTAGCAAAAAGGTAGCATGGCTGTTGAGGTTTCATTTGAAAGCTTAAGGTCCAAGGGCAGTGGGAAAAGTAAAAGAAGTGTTAGAAGTGTCTAAAATAGAAGTGGCCTGCTCTGCCCCACAGGCCGTCAAAGAACCAGTCATTTTTTTATAATAGAAGTACTGCTACAGACAGTGTTTCTATAAGCTGTTTTAAATAGGTACACCAGCTGATGTAAACATTTGCGTATTTTGTTTATTGATTTTAGTGACCTGTTTTTAGGCTAGAATGTAATGTAGTGTTGAAATGTATCGTGTTAGAGGAAGACCACGACTACGAAGGAGAGTACATATTTTAGGAATGGTGCACAGCATATAGGGATGAATGGCCAACGGAGGTGAAGGGCAGCAAATGCTGCAAATGGGCCCCTACTAGTATTAATTACAATCAGTATCATAGCAAACAGCTGATTGATTTATTACTTGACACAGAATATTGTCATTAGTTGTTAGATCATCTCAAACAGATTACACCACGTTTTTTAGCCTCAATTTTTTTACATTACATGGGAAGTCTGAGACCACCCTTATACATCGCACTGCGGTGGTTGTTAGGTTAGGTTGTAATAAATATGTTTGTAGGGCTATACATGCCATAACGAAACGAGGAAAGTCCTACAAACATATCTATGATAACCAACAAGCACATAATATCAATATTTATATTATATATACGTATAATATATTATATTATGTGCTCGTTGATGATAACCCAACCTATTTTTATAACATAACCACCGTAGCGCGCAGTATACCTACTTGACGGATTAGGTACATGTGGCAGCTATAGCGGCGGCGACGCATTCAACTCAATCCCCGCCGACATCGCTGCCTTCTGGGAGGCAGAACTCAAAGGCCGCTAATCGTACGGTATCATGTCAAATTCGGACAGTAAGTCAATTATAGTATGTTCTTTGTTCTTTCCAATTATGTAGTGATTTTTGGTCTTCGGTAAAAAAATCCCTCTAAAATAACTCAATAAGTATATCCGTTTCTCTGAGCATGCTTAGTGCTATATATTACTGAACATTTTTGGTGCTAATGATATTTGGATTTTGATAGTAAAAGTCACACTGGTATTTTTATCGAAGTAGTTAAACATAATTTTTTTCCAACTTAATGTTAGGTTTGGTCAAAATAACCAACGATTAATAGAGTTTATGATTGAGACTGATGGAGTGCATTTTATGTTGTAAAAGAAACATGCCCTGGAGCTTGTTCCTTGGAGTAAATGATCAATCAAGGCAGCAGATAAACGTTGGTTCTCTCAGTTATGGCCCAACGTCGCGCCGCTTAGTGGAATGACCCAATAAACTCGCTACCTGATAGGGCAATCTAAATCTGAGCACTGAGCTCTTATCAACATCTTAACAATGTGTTGAGATTACATTTACAATCATAACACCATACTAAATTAATAACATGATGTTTAGAAACATTTATCAAAATTACTCAATACAGTCGTTTTATTTTTGGGATTTCACATTGATATTGAAATGGAATCATTGGTTCATCTCCCAAACAAAAATAAATGGTGTTACCACTCTAGTGCTCCATAGTACAATATTGTACAATGATACAA